GCCTTTTTTTAGCTTTTCTTTATTAGTTTTAAACCAGTGTGTCTTGAATACTTTTTTTCTCTCCCCTCCTCACTCCCCTTCTCTCTCTTTACACATAAACATCAGTAATATTTTTCAAAGTAGACTTTGTGTGCATATTTAGTGGAGCAACAGATATATAAGAGAATGTTTAAGGTGTGTATAATTTATAGCAAAAGATCATAATTAAAAATCTAATTTCCCATGGAATATTCTGAGGTCTTACTGTTTGACAACCTTAATTCTGCAGTGGAAGAATGTTTTAAATTATTTCTAGCTTGTGTTTTATTACATAGTTGGATGTAATTGATTATGAATTATATAATAATAGAGAAGGAACCTTCATATAAGTCATCTGGCTTTGCTTGTTACTAAAAAGAATTCCTTTGTGTGTGTTACTGGAGAAGATGAAAAGTTGTATTTGACACCTGCATTTTTGTGTTCATGCCACAATTTGCAGAAGCAACATTTTCTTTTGTTTCTATGGTATTTGTGTTTTTAATGCACATTTTACCATGCTGATATCTTACAAAACTATGTCATATGACTACAGCTGTCTTTTTATTTGCAAATGTTAGTAATATAAAAACTATAAGCAGAAGTTGTATTTATTTTCCAGGTGCCATAGTAGAGTATACACAAAGTAATATTTGGTTTAAGGTTTTAATCTAGGAAAGTCATATTTCCTACAGTCAGCATTCACTGTCTCTGATTTCCACCTATCTTGCATATTTTTCACATGATATGGAACACTCTTGCATCCTGTTAGTCGAATAGCTTATTTTCAAGCAAGGCTTTTGTTGGTGTACAGTATCAACAAACACAGCCAAAAGATTTCATTCTGGGGAGATGATGATTCAGTACTGCAAGGAGCGTCAAGTACGTACAGATAGCACTTCTGCAAAGTGTCTGGGTACTGGAAAATAAATTGTCTGTTCTTTCTTGCCATCAATAGTCTACTTCAAGTCTACTGAAAGTATCTTCCAGTAAAATGAATTAACTGTGATGGGGCCTGTGGACTTCTTTTACTTAACCAGAAGGGCTGGGCACCTCTTTCTGTCCTAGACTTGAAAATTTGTATTTGCATATAGGGAACAAGCAGCTCACAGGCTCTGGCAGAGATTACCATGCCGCTCTGGGGTGAGTCACGCAGACCTTGGTCAATTTGTTTCCCTTTTAGGGGGGACCCAAGTTTTAGTAGAAAATAAATACTCTTTTCAGTCGCTCTTCTGCCCCTCCCTGTTCTTTTTGTACTTTGATAATTATTTCAGTACTATTTGATAGTCACTCACTTATTCACCAATTACCTGCTGTCTTCTTCAGTGGTCTTACCTTTTTCCATGAAGAAGTCTTTCCTGAGCTAACTTTGGAGAGAGCTGTTTTCTTACCCAAAATTAACCTTTTGTGAAAAGCTTGTCACCATTGCTTCCAACTAAGCAGACAGGGAAGTGAGATTGTTGCCTTCAGAAGATAAATTTTTGTTTGGAGAGGCCATTGTCTTTTTTTGCTGCACGTACAAGGTCTAGATTATCAAATGTCTGTAATCTGATCTAAGAACGATACTAGTGTCCAGAATAACCAGTCAGTCCTGGTCAGTTTGAGTAGGATGTGATAGCATTGAACTATTCTTATTAAAAACAAGAAAGCATGTAAAAAGGTATATAATTGTTTATATTTTCTGCTTTCTTTTTAATACCAAAATTTCCGTGCTTTCTTCATTGTAAATTCTCTGATTTGTATTGCATTTTTAGTATTATGCCTAGTAAAGTGTGTCCCCAGTTGGAATTTCTAGTGAAACAGTATTAATGCTGCATACGATTTTAATTAAAAAGTAATTTATAGATACTATGTGTATGCTTACAAATCATGAGTTTAATCATGAAAACTGATTTGTGCCAATCTTGTTAACATCGATGAACTAATGGATCTAGTCAAACCTGTTTGGACTTGATGAATTTTTCTCTCTTACAAACTCCTGTATACTCAGGTTTTAAATGAATCAAGTTTGAAAGATAGCATTTAATTTTTTTAGCTATTCTGATTCAATAATAAGAATTTATTTGTGTAGTGTGATTCTTATTTCTGATTTCCAACCTATGGTCTTGTGTCCTTGAGATTCTTGGATTAAGTGGACTTTTGACAGGTAGGTAATAATGTTAATTTGTATCAGAAGACTCATATTTATAATAGACACTTACACCTCCACTGGGCTATTTCTAGGCATCTGCAAAATGTAAAAACTTCCAAAGTGCTGCTTTAGAGTGTCACTTACTCTGCATCTGTGCATTGTTTTGATGCTGTTTTGCACAGCAGCATTTTGGTACATTCTTCTACAGGTCTGCACAGTTTCTTTGCATATCAACTTCTGCCACATCAGTATCGTAAAAACTCAAATGTTGCTGTTTACCCTTTAGGTGCAGTGCTGTTTGCCAGGGTTGTGCAGCAAGCTCACAGGTATCAGGACTTTTCCTTCACTGCTCTGTCTCCTTGACAGTGCCTGGTGAAAACATAAATGGTTTTGTGATCCTGTGAATTAACCTGATTTCTTATTTCATCTACATCCTTGGATAGATCTCTCCAGTACTAATAACTTACATATTTTTATAAATTACTCCTTGCAGCCAGATGTCATAAAAGCTCAGACTCTGACCCAGCCAGAGTTCATACACCTCAGAGCTGGGCATATTAAAGGCTAGTACACAGGCTGTGAAGGTTAAATGGACTTAAGGAATTTAAAATGGAAAAAAGTTGTAACTTTTGTGTTTGTAAAGGGCAAAGTCTGTATGTTTTGGTAAGAAGATTGTCACTGGACCATTCAAACAAGAGAAAAAAATGTATTGAGTTGTTGAGATGTTTTAACCATTTTTGAAATATTTCATAACTGTCATTAAATGCGTGTTTTTGAGCTGAGGATTTGTGCCAAATTATATCTGGAAGATCTACTCCTTTCTGTGGAGTTTACAGTGTTGTTAATGAAAATCTGTAGGTTCTGATCAAAAATATCCTTGGCTAAGAATTGCCAGTGTAAAGTGATCACTGACTTATAACATTAAAACAAGAAATAAAATAAACAGGCCAGATGTAGTGCCCGGTTAGGGTTTTGATTGTTTGTTTGTTTTACCAGTAGGGAGGATTTGATTTAATCTAAATGCGTAGTTTTGGCTTCATCAGTACTAATACTAACTAACTACACTAAGAAATTACCAAAGGAGTTTTTACCTCACCACTGCCATTTTTTTAAAATTAAATTGAATGTATTGATTGCATTCATGTGGCTGTAATACACTTAAAGGCTTGGTTAGACCAAGACTAGCAGTGAGAAGGGGTCATGATTTGATTAACCTTTCAACTGTATTTCATAGCCTGGTACGAGCAGTGACATAGAGAGAGGCTTTTGGTTTTCAGGGGATAAAAGAACAATTCACATCATGACAGACAGTGAAATACCTGAAGGTCGGCGGTGCTGGTTTGTGCCCAAGGATGCTTGAATGAGCCTATTTGGATCTACTTGTGATACTGCCTAAATTACTGTGAGAAGGGTGCCCTGTTCCTCTATGGGTTTTTGGGGACTGAAAACACTTTACGCTTCATCATGCCTAGTACTGCCATTATGAGCAGTGGTGTTACTTACACAGCATTACAGGCCTGGGTGGAATTACTTTATAAAAATAGTTCTAGGGCCAAAATGTTAATGAAATAAGATACCTGTTTGAGTCACTTTTTGAAAGACATCACTATTTTTGAAGAAAAATATGACTTACTGGAGAAGATTTAGTTGTTGAAGTCCATCAGTCACAGCTGCTGTTGTGCATGTTTGTCTTCACTGAGGGTCTTCTCATTTTTCCTCCTGTTTAAAAGACACCAGGCTGATAGTTCAATCTGAGTCAGAAGTTGCATTTGTAAGTTCTGTAGTAGGTTTCAGAGGCTGCTGAATAACACTTACGACATCTTTACATAAAGATGTCACTGCCCTGTTCTGAGAGGTAGCATAATTTGTATGGCCTATACTTGGCACGGGGTTACTAATGCAGCAACACTTTCATTAACAACACCAGGCATGGTGACACGATCACACCGAAGTGCATAAAAGTGACTGGAGTTTCTGCCCACTAACCTGAGCTGCGGTGGATGAGTACGTGTGCTTGTTCTTAAGGTATAGCAATGCAGAGTGAAACAAGTTGTAATGTTAGAGCTCTGAGGCCTTCAGTAGTAATTTAAGCCCATTTTACTCTGTGTTTGTAATGGTTTAAGAATGCATGTATTGCATTATGTGTTTCAGCTGAGAGGGACAAGTGCCTGTCATCATCTGACTGTACCCATCTTTTGATTTCATAAAACTCCTCGTGCCGTCACTGAGAAATACCTCATTAACTAACTTTTATCTCTTTGCAGAGTTTTTGTTGGGGAAGCAAGCAGCAGGGTATTTGACCTAGGAGGGACATTTGCACAGAATGAGAAATTTCACGTCATGACATCTTGTTCAAAACAGGGATGATATTCCTGACTGTATTTTAAGCTGTAGGATCCTTGACTTTGGTTACTAGAACTATTTTAAGCAGGAGACTTTCTCTAGCAATCTGTAGTCAAGCTCGGAATATTGTAACATGGAGCATAACCCATGCACCGTGTCTTCTGAAAGGATCTTTAGGCAGAGATTTTAAGAGATACTCTTACTTCTTCAACACTTGACCAGTAAAGAAATTCTTATTCCACTTCTAGGTAGTGAGTGTTAAGACAAAGATGTTGCTGCCTGTGTTCTGACTCAGGCTGAGGGATGAGACTGCAGCATTAGTATAGGTCCTTGAAACCCAGAAAAAAAAAATCTCTTTAACATAGTAAGGAGCTCTTATGGAGCAGTGTATAAATTTGCTTTGTATAAATTAATATAACAGTAGTGGCCCTACAGTATATCAATTTTTTTTCTTAATATATATTTAAAGCATAATTTCTAATTCTTGTATATATTTTTAACTTTCCCACAGATATGCACTTATTTGGCCATTATCCAGCTCATGATGATTTCTATCTTGTAGTGTGCAATATCTGCAATCAGGTAGTCAAGCCACAGGTTTTCCAGTCACACTGCGGTAAGTGAATGTTTTTTTTCCTGAATTACAGTGCCAAACTGGCGTATGGTTCTCTTAAGAATCATTGCATACAATCATGACAGAGGCATTGCAGATATACTTTTCTGGTTATCTTGTGTTCTTTCCACAGAAAATACCAGTGATGCCTTCAAATAAGCGTATTTCCTGTAGAGGAAGTTAAATTAGTTGTTCTAGAAGCTGGGCTTTTCAAGTTGAACTTGTTATACTAAATTAACCTACTACAGCAAATAAGTGCTGTTAGTTAGATACTAGCTAGGCTAAAACTATTATGATGTAACACTGAATTGTCTTTTATCAAAGCTGCAAAGTGAGGGCTGTGATGCTGATCTACATTAACTAGAAGTTGGATGTTATGGATTGTTTTCTGATGGGATTTATGCATAGGTGTATATAGGGTTTATTTTTATATTTATCATAAGGTTTAATTTTTTACATAATCGAGTCACATTTCCTAAGATTTTCTTGAAAAACGTTGATTTGAGAAGCAGCAGAAATGTGCAGATATTTATTTCTCAATTAGTATGGTAACAGCAAGATAACAATTTTTATGTTGATTATTTGTAAGCAGAACTACTTTAGTCAGAAATTTTTGCTTTTGATTAACAAACTACTCTCAAATGTTTCTGAAAAACTTCATCCTAAAGTCTGTTTTATTTATTACTTATCCAGAGATTTATTTGTTGTGTGTCCAGTGGTTTATTTCTGTGGTGGGTTTTTTGGTTTGGTTTTTTGGTTTGGTTTGGTTTTTTTTTTTTTAAAAAAAAGGATTGCAAAATGTGACTGGAATGACTAGCTTTGCATGAGGTTTAATCAAATTCATTATAATCAAATTAATTTGAAGGTGATTGCATAATAATGAAAGGCAGCTAGTACTGAGGATGGAATCAATTAAATACATTAAAGAAAAAAAAAAACACTCAGCAAGATTTTTCTTGCCTGCATACAACAAATAAACTTCACAAATCCTATGCCTCTTTCAGTCTGCTTGACAGCAAAGCAACTCAGTAAGAGGAAAATGTAAGTGGGATGAACAGAAACTATAAAGGTTTATTTACTTTTAAAGACATATTACCAAAATACTGCCTTGGATTTGTAATGGATGGATTGCTAATGACGAACCAGGATCAAGTACATTCATGTTGAAAGGCAGTTGTGATACTCACCACCTCCTTTGGCCTAGATTGAAATAATTGTGAAAAAAGTGTAATAGTGGAATTTAAATCCAGCTTCAGTTATTTTGTGAGTCTTTTAGAGACTTCAGAGGCTTTCGGCTCTGCATATGGTCATAGGTACAGTACATAAGTACTATAAACATTGAACCAGTGCATTAATAAAAGATCTGCTACAGAACAGAATAACCCGTATAACACCTTGCTCTGTAGCTTCCCATGGTTGTGCTCTTTCCTGGACATGACCTTATGGTTTGGGGAGCAGTATGAAAGTTGGTCCTGTTTTCATGTAGGAGGCATATAGAATGATGTTTCTTCTAGATGAGAGTAAAGTAAGCCAGGTTAGAAGGAACTTTCTGAGCTCTTTGGAAGTAACAAGTTACCATCAGTGTTAGTGTGTTGCCTGTAAACTGCAAAGATCCTGTGAGTCACTGCTCTTTTTTCTTTTTCTCTTCATTACTCCATTATTTATACAATTCCTTTTACTCCATCTTCATTAGAACAATCCTGTTACACTGAACAGGAAGTTCAGTTGAGCATTAAATTTCAAATTGTCTGATTTAAGAGCCTAAGGTCAATAAAGACTTTAAAAAAAAAAAACAAAACAAAAAACAACAGAAAACAAACAAACAAAAAACAACAACAAAAAAACAACCCCCCCCAAAAAACAACAAAAAACCCAACAAAATAAAAAACAACAAAAAAACACACAAAAAAAACCCAAACAAACAAACCAAAAAACAACAAAACAAACCCAAAGAATAGACTGTATTAAAAGAAATGTAGAATACTGAAAATAAGTGACCAAAGCTGTTACCTCTTGAAAATTATACTTAATCTAGTCAGACTTGTTTCAGGAAAGGTGTACTGGAATATTGCTGAAAGGCCTGTGAAAGACCCTTAAATGTATAGATAAAATATTTTGCTTTAAAGAAGAAACAGTAAAGATGATATATTAAAACCATATAAAAGATGTTTTAGAAGAGAGAAGGTTTCTTTGAGGTCTTGAGAATTACTGTAAAATAACTAATAATTTATTTTTTAAAAATTAATCTGCTGAAGTGCTACATGTTGCATAAGTGACATGCATCTACTAACCTATAGTTGTTTTCATAAGCAATGAGTAAGATCTAAAGAAGAGTTACACATGGATCTTACTAATTCATCTGTAGTTGCATTGCCTGGCTGAGAAAAAGATAAATATCTGGCATTAGAAAACAGATCAACTGTGAGCTGCTTGTGCGTAACACCCTGGGCATGATATCAGTAGTCCATTGAGAAAAGTCTGGAGAAGGCTTCATTTGAGATATTGGTTCTGGCTGCACTGGGCTCTTCTGTGAAGCAGGAATATTTAATTTTCATGTTTATTTAGAATTTTATCAGCTGTTGGACACAATTAATTTGGTGGATCGGACTTTGTTTAATTAGTTAGGCCATGTAGCAGTATACCTGTAAATTCAATGAAGCTGAACATGCCTGTCAATAGACTTGGAGGTATTTTAGACCATCATATTTACCATAAAATGCATTATTTTAAATTTCTTGAATTGCGGCTTTAAAATTGTAACAAAGACAGTGGAATAATAAACATTAAGAGCCACTACTGTTTTTTTGGCTCTTGAAGGCTGTGTCATGGGGAGTCTTTATTGCTACTGACAAGGACTTGTAGAGATCTATCCCAGAATCTCGCACAAAGTGTGGTTTGTTACCAAGAACCCTGATAAGATCCAGTCTATATTCTCTCAGTAAGGATTTGGGTCTGTGCCAGACACGTGCTTTATGTTTTTAGGTTCCCTGCATTGTAACTTGAAGGTCTTGGCTTTTGAGCAGCACTGGAATGCTTAGTTTAGCAGACGTTTTTGTAACACTTCTCTTGAGCCCTTGCTGGCATTTGCCTTTCTCCAGAGCATAAGAAGGCCCACTGTTTCGTTTGTCTCTGATCTCAGGCATGTGGCAGCCATCCTTGATGGCTCTGGGAAGTTGTGAAGATTATTACAGAGGCAGATGTTGTTTAACTTTTAAGGGTTTGATTCCTGGAATATCAAGCAGAAAAAGAGAAAGATCTGGTTGTGGTTCAGGCTTTTTTAATGGGAGGTGATGCATCGTGCAACCTTAGACCAGTAAAAATCAGGAAGGTAAAAGAAGAGATCTGGCTAATTAGAGGAGTAGCTTGCAGGACTTGAGAGTCTGTGTAATAAACACAGTGTGGAGCTCAGTGTTGGAAAGTAGTAGATCTGTTCTTGCCTCTAAGAGAAATACTGAATTATTTTTAAGAGCAGTTTCATGTCCTTGTATCTGTGGGATAAATGTTTATATTCATTTCTAAGGATTAAACCATTCATGTACATATGGTGTAAGCCCAAATGAAAGAGAGATTTGCTGTTATAGGATGCTGGATGAACCATGTAAATCGAATGATTTCTTGAGGTCATTCGGTATTATTGTGCACTTAGAAAATAGTATATCAGAAGTCATCAATGATAGGCTTAAAACAGTGTTGTTTGCTTCTGAAGCCAGTTCTTTTGAGTAACTTGTTGCAGTGGTAAAATATCTTAGATCTTTTTTTTTTTTATTGTATGAACATGTAGTTGTATTTCTCCATAAAGTAATTTGAAATGAGAAGTCGGTCTAGTTATGCAGATTATAGCATTTCTAAGTGTACTTGGCATGTAAGGAATTTTAGTTTTGAGACTTTGTTCTCAAATGCCAACCTCAGTGAAGATACAGAGCACTTCTTGAGACACCAGAAATGTAGTGGTTTAGTATCTCTGCGGTTCCAGAATGTTCTTGCTGTTTGTTTGTTTGGGTTTTTTTTCCAGTATATCTGCTTTCTAGATTTGTAGGGTGGCAGCCTATGCTGAGCTCTGTCTATTTGACTTCTGTTAACTCCAATTCTGTCACAATCTGTTACTTGTTAAGATAGGATCCATACCAGTTCCCAGGAGATGTTTCTGTTTTCCTTTGGCCCCAGAGAGATTAAAGCTTCATGGTCTTATACTGCATTGTCCTTTACTAGACTAAAGAGCATCAGATACTGTTCTGGTTATTTTTTTTTTTTTTTAATGTTCTATATAATAATACGCTTGTTAACTTTGGTCTTTTCCTATTGAAAGGAAAATATCTTTCATAAAAGGTGACTCTGGCACAGTGAAGAACAAGCAGCATACATATAAAGAGCTTGTCAAAACATCTTGACTTTTTCTCTTAATATGAGGAAATAAATTAATGAAGGGAAAGTATTAAAAGTAAAGTTGGGGGGAAGAGGTGAATTAGCTAAGCTAAGTAATGCAGTTAAACAATATCTGCAGTATAACCATCAAAGAAGGTTTCCAAACATACTCTGGAACAGTTTCCAAAACTGTGGAGGGTATCTTAGTGAACTGAATAGTTAAGATCAGGATTTGATGAAGTCGTAGTATACAGAGAACAATTTTGCTTCATCAGGGAGAAATGACCATGATATCTCTTCTCTTGCTCATTTCTTTATTGGATGGCTTGTTGCTATCTATCCTGCCTGTCTCTAAGGTTATTCTAACAAGCTTCTAATTAAGAAGTAGAAATTCTTATTCCTTAAAGAAAAACACTACCCTTGCTTTTCATTACTTCTGAGTGATAAATCCTTGGGTTGACCTCCTCATGTCCTCATGAAAGTTGAAAAAGGTATTTCCTTTTTATCCGTCTGTTGGCTGTATAAGCATCATTTAAAAGAAAAACGAACTAGAAAGTAATGGAGCACTGAGGAATATAAATAAATTATTTTCTCTTCCATATCATAATTCTTTTCCTAAGAGAGGTTATATATCTTAAATT